AAGCTAGCAGATCGCTCTAAATAAGATGAATAGAAGGGGATAGCAGTATGGGAAGAGAGGAGATTAATTCAGATTCTCTCCTCAATAATGGGATACCTAAAGAGCTGTAAGGGTATTTATTCATATTATCCCAAACTCATGATAGTTCGATTGCATTTCGTTATGGAAATACAGCTCTTTTGAGATTCCGTATTCTCACGGCATAAGTACTAATGAAATTTACTTGCACTGCATCGACAAGATTTAATTGTTTATCTGTTTGTACTGGTCAAGAACAATTAGACAAGAACTGTTGTGGCAATCGTCTGAATGTTTCTTAATTCACTTCATTTGTTTGAAAACTCTAAAGTCTCTTTGCTTGACGATGTTATGACAATCCTAAAAATTCTTAAAAGAGATGAATGATAATTTGAATAAGCTAGATGAAATAATGATCAAATCTATAGGCAATTTGTTTTCGACCTTTTCAGTTGGCTGAAATTTGTACTACTTCCAATTAGCTATTGATACTTGTAGCCTTGTAAAATATCCATAATATGCTCAAGTAGTTCAGAATAAATCAGTTTTGCTGAAGAATATATGAGGGAAGCAAAACCCCGATCTAAAGAGATCAGTTCATCGATATGTCTGATTCTGGTCCCGGATATCTGAATAATAACCGGTAAAAAAAGAATTCTACTCCAAGAGTACATTAAAATAGATGGAAGACATTCAGTTCTTCATTTGTCTTGTTCGTGGATTGTTCGTTTCGCTAAATTTCGAGAAATATGAGATATATCTAACATTCCAGAAAGACACGATATATCGAGTCCCATATCCCCATCACCAAACTCTATACAACATCCGTCCACCTTATATTTTATAATTTTTTTGTTTCGAAGTCCAGGTTCAATATGGCGCGTCCTGTCACTGTGCTAATACGTTTGTTTTCATATGTGTCCTTTTTTTCCTCTCCCTCCTATCACTTATGGTGTATTCGACACTGCGAAAGGAATCTCACATAGTTGTTCTTCTTTCTAACGTTTTCATGATATCCCATGTTTTTGCTGGTTAAGGTCAAGTGATCTCGAAGTTAAGAGAGTACATAGCTATGAACAATAAATTTTGTTCTGAGATTCCGAAACTGCTTAGGAAATCTTTCTGCTCCATTATTTCATTTCAAATAATATAAAACTTAAAAGAAGAAAGAAGAAATTTGCTTCATTCCCATTGAAAACAATGACGGTAAATTTATAAGATTAATATACATCAAAGTTAAAATTACATTTTTGCTGAATGGTTTTCACCTTTTCATGAAAGGAATGAAAGAAGAAAAAAACTGAAACAAATCATAACTAAGTCGGGATGACCAAATAAATTAACCATATCTATTGATTCAAAGTTCAGGTTGAATGGAAGTCTTCACTGCACTATTATAAATTGTTCAAGGACTTTTGTAATCCCAAAAATGAACTTTCCGATTGATTTTTAGCTATATATAACATCGGCAGCAAGGTTAGTCTTTCTAGTAATAAAGAGATGATATTAAACGCTCTTTCCTATGATTGTACATTTTCACAGGAAAAAAAAAACAAATCAAAAATGCGAATTTCGATATCATCTCTTTATTACTACAGGGGTTGTGATGCTATCAGCATAACATGAATGTGTCCTTTTCTCATCCTATATTATCCGCGTTCCGGTGCAACATCAGATCAAATGGCAGGATATACAACAGGAATAAATGTGACAAGTTTGAATTTCGTAAATATGAACAATGATTTCCACTTTTTAACTATAATCTACAACACTCTTCAAGGATGACATTGCGAAGTAAACTGTAATAATACTTTTGGAGTATTTTTCAGCCCCAATCGATTTGTGTTGTATGCACAAGCACAAGTTTGGACGAAAAATGTAGTAGCAACCTTTATGATTAAATTTCAACCTCACTGATATTGTAAGACACTCCGAGGAAAAAGAATAGCGCGAGGGGATTAGGGAGATAATTATCACTGGATCTGTGGCAAAGAGCGAAATGTTATCGTTGGTTCAAGAATGATCGAAGTTGCTGGTAATTTTAGGACAACGAATGATGGATGCGTAAGATAAGGGAGCGATAGTTAAAAGGTGAAGGGAGCTGGAAAGGGTAAGGCTAAGGGATGTGGAAGAGAGGAGAGAGGCTTAGAGAGATAGATATGAATTGAAAGTGGTCGTTATCGAAAGCTTTCTTAGTGGGCCGATTTTCAATTTAATGGAGAAGCAAGAAAGAGCAGCCTTTTTTCATCCGAAACTGATCGAGTTATATGCTCGATTGACAGCTTATCCCCCAATCGTCCACTATTACTACTATATTTTTAGGCTGGGCACTTTGCCATTTACAATTAACGGATACAAAGGTAACTGAAAAATACACGGCCTAACTTCCTTCACCAATCATTCAAAGAGTAATCGCTGATAGAATACCACTTTCCTTTCCCTCTCATTGATATGCTAAATTGCTAAATTGACAGAGGGGATAACTTCTCGAATATCGCTACCATAGTCACTGCTTAATTTCAATCCATATGATCTTCTAACTTATACCAAATATGTAGAAACAGGAAACCATTGTTCTTTTTATGTACAACCGATTGGGGTGAAAGGCCCCTCAATACTGCCCCTTAACTCCTGTTCTGCAAATACAAAAAAGCTTGAAGTTGAGGTCTGCGCGCCACATCTTTGTATTGGTAGTTTCAAAGTGCGTATTTAACAATTTAACTCAGAAATTGTTTAGTATCACTGTATGCAGCGTATCAAACAATTCAAAACTATATGTGGTACAATTACAGCTAAAGATTTACCATAGCCTACTTCAGAATTAGAATGAATGATATATTATGAATCGGTAATCAAAGTCAATTGAACAATGAAAATCTGAATTTCAGTTACTCGAAAACTGAGATTTATTGTTTGAATTTACAAAGTTTCAGTGAAAATTACATATTGTTGCTTTGTGTAAGGTCAGGACTAGAATAACAAAAATGCAATATTTGGTGACCTTTAACCTAGTAATTCCAAAAATATCCCAAACAGATGTAAAAGACGAGAATAATTAGAAGGGTAACTTACCTTCCTGTAGTGATATTCCTAAGAGATATATCCTACTAGTATCAGTGCAGTAGGTCATGCTTTCCAGCACTTTCTCAGCATTGCCAATACACTTCCTGATGACAACCAGTGATGAGAAGTTGACCCGTTTTTATGGCTCCTCGTGGAAACCTAACCATCTCAATATTCGACTTTCTGAGTAGAAGCATCATTCAGCATTTTTCCACTTATAAATGTTCATAGTAATAATGATACAGAACAACAAAAGATTTAGCAACTTGATTTATACAGGTTGTTAGAATTATCCTGCTAAATATCATACCCGTGAAAATACAGAAAAATTGACGAGATGAGGCTCATTATAAAACGTCATTCCCAATCGGACAATAAGCGCCGTCAATGGAAATGTTTGTTATCACAGATAAATTACTACTCTAACACATTTCCTAACAGCATGGTAAATTATAATATGCTATATGTTATTCTACAAATGACAGCAACCAGTAAAGTAATTCTTGCACCAAATGGTACCAAACGAGATGCCTTTTGCGAACATGGATATTGTGATTCATCCTGAAAAAGGGAAAAGAAGCACCTACGTGTATGATTATCAGAAAGATAAAAAATCCATTTGATTTATTCCTAAACAGAATGAGACCATGACCTGACACAAAAGTGATAAAATTTGATGACGTAGCAGAAACTAGTTGCACTTTCTAAAACTGAATGTCCCAAAGGATAAAGGTTAAATGAAAAGTAAAAATAGGAGACCAAGTTTGAGATATAAACTACTGAATTTACAACTTGATGAAGTTTCAAGTTACAGATTTTTTCTTAAATTAGTGAGTTTGACCTCATCAGAATGTACACATTTCGACGGCGATTTACGTTGCTTTGCATAGACATGTCGACACTTCCTATCGCCAATATCTTCGGAAAATGAATCCACTACGTTTGTACTTACGCTTATCTGTTGCTTGTCTGAAGCATTATCCACCTGCAAGTAAAAAAATGTTAAATCTTGATTAGATAATATGTGAATATAAATTTTTACATATTTGCACCGAAAACTTAAATTATTGGTTATTTTCCAGCCATGACTATAAGTCAGCATCTATTTCACTAAAAATTTTTAAAAATTCCTTGAAATGTTTAGATTACTTTTTTACCCACCAATCTTTATTTTTTGATTTAAAAACTGGAATCTTTATATCTAAAGGAAAGTATTTCAACCTGGCTGAATGTAGTCATGAATTCGGGTGGCATGGAAAGTGGACATCGTGTTTCATCATAGCAAACAGAGAAACTCGACGCCGGATTGCTCTGTACAATAATAACTAACAGCAAATTGGTATTTGGAACCCAATGAGCATACATTTTTCTGGAAGCAAAGAATGCTGTTAGTCCTGTTAAACCGAATCCATGAAAAATTCGAACAAATGCCATAAACAGCTAACTTACACAGCGCATTTAGCTGGATTATGCTTGCACGGGCGATCGGCTAAATTATCAGCAATTAGCGCTGATGATTTGGGCATTTCCCTCTTTGATCCATTGTCTGACCAATTCTCTATACCCCAATTTGCCAAATAGTACCTAGCAGCTTTATCGCATGAAAATGTGTCGCTATCACCAGTAAACGTTGCAGTGTATGCTGAAGGATGTATTTTTTAATGTTTTTTTTTTTTTCGCTTAAGTTCCATCTACCACGAATACCATCTTTTTATGCATTTTAAAGTCTTAAAATAATAAGATTCAATTCTCACAGGAAGACTACGACCAATAACAATGTACGAGTTTGTCGAAATTAGACATAAAGTTAGATGTTAGTATCTGACAATAGAAACCACATTTAAACTTTGAAATTTAAATGAAACCATCAACGGAAGGATGTATTAATGATGTTAATATTTGAATGATAGCGAAATTTTGCAATAACGCCAACAATCGACTCCACACCCGCAACAACGATCCAAATATTGCATTAACCTGAATAAAAAAAATAAAAATATGATCCTGGTTTTGTTTTTAAGATATAACCTTGAAAGACACATCTCAGTTCCGAGTTTTTAAAATTTTGCATACGTTCATAAAATAATAATTGTTAGATTTGACGGTTCACATCGAATGTCCTACTAGATTTTACCCTAAAAGCAGCGCCAGCAGTGTACATGACCACTTCATTCTCTTTACAGACTGCTTGATAATCAACATACGTTGTTCTGTAAAAAAAGTTATGTCAGTTTTTTCATTTAATCATATTTGATTTAACCAAACACTTTTGAGCAGGAATTCAATTGAAGTATTCCCAGTAACACCTTTAGAAATATTAAGTACTATAAAAATCTATCCGAAATTTTTGGGCATACTCAGTATAATAGTTATTCTTCAGCAACAGCGTCATTGTCCGTTCTGTAATTCGATTCACCGATCCAAACCAGCGTCCTAGCAAGTCGAAGTTTTTTGGGATTCCTGCTTCATATACAGGAAATCCACTACTGCTACTCATAGAAGTATTCAAACTACTATAAACGATATATGCATGCTCATCCAATAGAAAACACCATCGGCGTTCATCCTTCAATAAAATACCATTACAAAAATTATAAATTTCGCAGAAATCAAAAATTGCTTTAGAAATTTGTAGAATTTCATTTGCATGGATCATTCTAAATTAAAATACAATATGAATTCGTTTACTTGTGGTCCACAACCGAACTTCCTCATTACTTTTGCCATATAGTCCAGTGTTAATTCCAATCCCACCACACCAACTAATGCATTATCAATCTCTAATGCTTTAGTGACCGTTAGAAGAAGCGAAACATTTTCCGGACGACCATACGTTGATTGTGTCTCTTTTTCATACCAAAGATAGGCTAAACAAATAATTCGAGTAGATGGTCCGATCCGGAAATACTCTTTACCGCTAACAAAGTTCGGTGAAACATACTTTCTCTGTTCACATCAACAACCAAACGTCCTGGCATCCGAACGCTGCGTTGAAAGTACTGATCTTCACTGGAACGACGATTTAAGTCTCTGATAAAGTGCTGATAGCTTCTGGAAAGGACAGTGTATTCGCTATTTCGTTTTTGAATTCAAACTTGGTCGGGTAAGTATGGGACATCCTCTTGAATAACAAAATATTTGATAAATTCATTCAGTCAGATTTCTCGTAAATTAACTTTATTCTACTTACGGATTTATCCAGATAGGAAATTTTTTCCTAGCCAGATCCGCTCAAACTCTGATGATTTTATGGGCTAAACTAACGGTGTGAGCTAGAACTAGATAATGTTGCAAATTTGAATGAAATTTTTTAGAAACTTTTGCAACATTTTCTATAGTCAACTAATATGTCTAAAATACAGTTCTAAAACAAACATTTGCTGCTTTGGTATTGCTTGAGAACCCATGGTAGCTGTTGTTGGCTTCTGCACTGATGCAGTTTCTGATGTCATCGTTGGTGGCAAATTAGGATTGATATTTGTCAATCCATCCGGTAATTCATCCCAATATTTTATCATACCCGAAGCGGTCGCAAACCAAACAAGGTGAATTTGTTTCCTGTAGTAAAAACTTTAACAATAATCTTAACAATAAGACTAATGACACAAGCTACTAGCCAAAACAAGGAGGGTTCAGACAACAATAGACTTGTGGTTATAAGCATAGAAAGAGTAATGGATCTTTACACTTACTTTTTATTGTCCTTCCAGTTGATGTCCCATAAATTTGTCAAATCATTTGTTGCTTTCATATCAAACAGGAAACGGTCGATGAGAGGCTTTCGATATTCACAGTGCTTGGGCAGACGTCCATCTTCACGCATTTTTCGGACATACTCACGAAACGCAGCTTCAGGAGTTAATTGTGCATCATGATCGCTCAGTAAGCAATAGCGCCTGAAAAAAAATGGAAGTATTGTTGCTGAGCAACATATGAATATAAAAAAAAAAGTGTAGTTCGTTTACATTTTGTCAAGTAACCTTTCAATAACACCGACAAGTAATTAGCAGAAATCAGACCAGGTGGGATGCATCAGCCAATTTGGCATGTCATACCACAACAGTTTGACATCACCATAGTTCATTTCTTTCTTTGGTTTTATTCGTTTCTCGTCACCGTTCGCTACTGCTAATCCGATACTACAATCAAAGTGATAAGACGATATGTTGTTTGAAACATTCAGCTCCATACCCAATTTAGGAACAGAAGAAATAGAATAATACTTGTTTGGCTGACCATTTCACACAAATACATATGTCTTTTGAATTTTGACAGAAAACAAATTTTCAATGTTGCACAATCAAAGAATTAAAGAACAACCCGGTTTTCGGAATCCAAGCGATTTTCAAAAAACAATTTACCTAGAGCATTCAGCAAAAAAAGACATACGTGAAAAGTGATTGTTTCAGGCATTCCGAATAATACTTGTTCGACTGGCGGTACACACGTTCCTGCAGCCAGCATTACAGATCATTTAAGCAAATAAACAATTAACTAGTAAAAAATGAACGAACTTACCAAATTAGCCGTTGCATATAATATATCCAAAGTATATGCTTTTCCATTATCACAATTAATCATTGAACTACGCATCTGAAATGCTGAATTGTTGAAAACTTTCCTGTTCAAAATAAGCAATTAAGTGAACTAGGGGAGTTCAGAGAACAGAATTTATCCTTTTCTAAATTTTACTTCATATATTATCATGAAAATTTGTTTCTTCAACAAGAAATTCTGAAAAAATAAACAATCGAACGAAAGACAGGATATGATCTGAATCCGTTCAAAAATAAAGGCAACAAGCAAACGTACAAGTGCAGAGTCTGCAAAGACTGCATGAAAAACTCAAAAGACAAAGAAGTACAAAACATCGAATTATATATCAGTTCAAAATAGCTCTCAAGAAATCAACCGGATGAACCCACGATGTTCAAAAGAAAAAGAAAATCATAAACAAGAATGATACGGCATGCAGCTAATTTTACAACAGAGAAAAACAAGCAATGCCGCAGAATTTTACCTCACTAGTATCGTACTGTAAACGATTCTTCACTGATAAATGATCGTTTAACTAAAAAAATGTTAATAGATATGCAAAATAGAATTAAAAAGAAAGAGCAGCAAGAAGAGTAGAAGGTATCCTGAACAAGCCTATACGTCAAAGTGTTCAAAGTTTACCGTTCTTAAAATTACGATTGAAAAACTAACTATTTGCTGATTCTGAGGTACTTCAAGTTCCAGAATATCGATATTGTTGTAATTCAACTTCATTTGTTTTGTTTCCGGATCCTGTAAAATCTGGTCTAAATTGGTATGAAAGTTAATCCTACAGCGAATATGATTTAAGGATTTTTGGTTTTTATCATAATGACTTCAAGACCAAACTTCTGAAAAGAATATTAAAAATCATATACTGCTAATACAGTTAGTGCTCTATTCGTTCCTGTTTACAATGGTTTACGCTTACCAGAGGGCGCATTTGTGGATGGAACATCACGTAGCCATTGTTATCTAGCATAAATGCATAGCTTCGGCTTCCAAACTGTAAATTAATGGAATTCTTAAACCGAAAAGAAATTTAACTCATTAATGTCATTATTATGGTCACTATCTGTTTTATAAACGTTCAAGAAAAGTCAAAAATTAACTTCTTTAGCACACAAGGGAATCTCGTGCTTTAAGAACGTCAGATTTATTTTCTAAAAATGCATCATAGCTTACGTTTATGGTATGAACCAGTTGTGCTAACTCAGTGACTGGTACACTAACGGCAGCAACTCCCATCAACTCTTCATCTTGGATCACAGGATAACTTACCGTTGTAACTAACATTTCTGTCTAAAAATAAAAACATTCTTGATTATCGGTAACTTATCACGCCGTTTTGAATCGGAGCGCAACTTCTTAAAAAAATTAATAAGTTGGCAACATCGAAGGTAGCAAAGATAAGGGCAATAGGTGAGAAAAAGAATAACTTGATAATCTTCAAGAGCGCTTAGCATGCTTTTCCGTGTGTATTTAGGAGTCATTCAACTTTGAGATCTTCAGCATCTAAGTTAGTAGAATTACAAACAGAGGCTGTTAATATTAAAGCAATCATTGCCTCGTCTTTTTAATTTTTTTAAAAATCAAAATGATTTATCGTAATATGATTTATCATTAGGAACCTTGAAAATAAAATTCTAAAATATGACAAGGAACTAACTCTTGGATCCACACGTTTAATGCGAGATTTCTGAAAAATACAATTATTGAAATGAATGAGACATAGGTTAGTTTATGAGGAATATAAGTAACCGGAAGAAAAGCTGTGCAAAATTTGAAAAAAAAAGAAAAAAATTAGGACTTACTTTCTTCACTGGGCTTTGATTGATTGTTAGCTGCAAAAAAAAAAAGAAATAAAATAAAATCTATTCTCCACAGCAGTCCAAAAATCTACTTTTCTACGTCGATTTCCTATATCGCCATCAAAATCTATGTTTTTGTAGATTTTCGTATTTTACAAAAAAAAATTTGTATTTTTCGACATAATATTTGGATTCGCTTATATTTCAGGAAGTATAAATGAGTGAGTAAAATGAAGAGTTGTCATAAAAAAATCTCCGTAAAAAGTAAAGAAAGATCGAGTTTACCAGTCGTTCCTTATATATACCACTCCAAATGGCATCCTTTTCGCCAAAATTTGCACCATGCTTACCGACCGGCCGACTCATTACTTTGATGTAATGCTAAAAACCAAATTAATCAAATGTATTTTCGAAATTTAAACCCTAATGTAGCCAGTAATAGAAATAATGGTCATCAAACAAATAGAGAATTATTACACTTGCTCCAATTCTGACAGAAATTAATAAGCAGATTGGAACAAAACTATGAAGTACTACACCGACCAGCTCATTCTTTCGAAAAATAAATTTGAACCAGAACCTTTAACCAGTTTATTATTGGTTGCAAATAACGCAATCACACTGGCACAAAAGTGGCATAGACTTTAACTTTAGATACCTGAACTTTTTCTTGTACATCAGCCATATTACTAATATGCACCATAAAACCTTTGTTTTGACAAGCCATCCATTTTACCTGCGCCACATCTGTTGCTTCTTCTCCTATTAGAAACGAAAAAAAGCGGACCTACAATTGTCATTTAGTTATGAATTTCCAGGTTTGTTAAGTAGGATTTATACGATGAAGTTAACAACTGGTTATCTTAATCCAAGATATGAGATGACTAATTGGGAAAACTATATCACAGTATGGTAAACAGACAATACAGGTAATATTCGACAGATAATAGATAGTAATTGGAAATGACGAAGTTATTAACCGATTTGTTTTTATTGTACAACTGGAAAATCTGTTTGAAATAATTAGGTGCTCCATCAGTAATTAGCATAATGATGTCGTTACAACCAAACTGCGCTTTCTTTCCCGTATAGTTATGCATCTGTAATAAAGCCATGATACCTACACTATTTATACAATATCAACATTTCATGCAGCTTTGTCAAATGTTTAGAATTCCATAAAAATCTTCATCCAACTTCTTCTTCTTGATGTCCGTCCATTTCTTCAGCATAGAACAACAATATCTATGGATCTAAAAAACTGGAATTTCTTTTCTGCTCTCTCTCAATTCACATAGAAAACACACAACTTTGTCATCTCATTCCAATTTTAAATCAATATTTAGATGTTCAATTTAACAAAGAAGTAAAATTTCTACTTATTTGAACACATTGTATTATTCAACTTGAGTTAAAATTCAAATTTTTTAGATTCATAAATATTGTGATGCTGCTTGTAACACTGTTGCTAAAGCGCTTCTATGAGGCGTCTAAGCGTTTAAGAATTCGAAAGCGATATGAACGAATAAATGAAGGAAAGCAGTACATGCGAAAAGTCAGCAATCAGCGACTTAGTTTTACCTTCCAATGGCAAGCTCATACAAACAGTATGCAGCTTATAATACCAAACATAGCTACTGATAGTTAGCACTTACTGCCTGATAAAGATGATTTGGGACCACAAGAATATGATCTTGAACAGCGATATAATGAACATCAGAAGGTAGTGTACCACCAGCTAACTCCCGACGCAGTGCCAATTCTTCAGTTGTCGTGAAATTGACTGATCCGGGAAGCTATATGTGGATGAAGCGCAAACGACAATAAATCGACAAAAAACAGAAACGAACAACGCGATACCCCTTTCAGGCTAATTAACTTAATAACACCCATCTTCAAGATTATATGTCTCTAAAGGCTCACAACATAGTTTAATATAGAGTTGACGTAAGTTAATACTCTAACGCTAGCAAGATAGTTTGGAAACGGCAGACATGTAAATTATTTACAAAAGCGTAAAATGTAAGCCTCACTTTTTTAGTTTGAAGCGGTTTCACGACAAGCACATCAAACATAAAGCCGAAGCAACAAGAAAGTTGAAATGAAAATTTCGAAATTAACTTATTTGCAAATCAAAAAAAATTTTTCACGGGAAGAAAACTCACTTTCATCAATGTTTCGAAGGCTTTAATCAAGCCTTTCTCATATTCTGCCTTACCCTCTGATGACATACCATTCAGTCGAGCTCGTAGCATCTGAAATATTACCGCAATGCCGACATATCTCCTTACAACTCAGAAATAATATTGGAAACGAAAATTTTTAACATTCAACCGAACTACAGAAATAATTCATCGACGGAAACTACAAGATTTAACTAAAGATGAAAAAATGATTAAAAGAGATGATTAGAAAAATAGAAAATGCAAAATACACAAGAAAAATACCTTTTTGTTGCGAATTGTTGCTTGCAACAATCCAGCTTTTTCGCTACATTCATCCAAGAAACCAACCGTTTTTGAGAACTGCAGGATACCTTTATCATCAAACATAAAGGTAAGAAAATAATTATTTAAAGTTCTGACCTCAAATTTAATTCGTGAAGCAAACGGTCTTGAAGAGTACTAACAAATAATATGTTGAAGAAATCATTATCGGAGAGTGTTTCCAATATTGCTTCTACAGTTTGTTTGGCTATTTCGAATCTCTGGCCAAGCATTGAGCCAGACATATCTAACATTATAATTACATTCTTGGACAGCGTCGCAGCATTTATGTACCTGAAGCACAACAGAAATCTACGACTAGACAGAAAATAAGAGAAAGCGTATCATAAATGTACCAAAAATATTTGTGACACGCAAAAGTTTTCAAAATTCTAGAATACACAGAGAAGGTGGCTTAAATTTCTACGGTCTTGAATCCTTATCAGAAAATTAAAATGATTTCCAGCAAATAAAAATTAAGAAAAAATGAGATAGACATAATAATCATATTAGAGCATAAATCAAAAAGCGAAGAACTGATAATTTTTGTAAAAATGTTCATATTTACCATTCCGTACTCCTGCAGTCGAATAAATCAAGTTTCTCTGCACGATTGTCCCATACCCACGATACCGCTATAAAGTGAAAACGGTCATTCAAATAACTTGCAACCAAGAGGAAACTTTAACTTAACCATAATCCCAATAACAGCTCAAAATATTTCCAAAAGTGACTCCAAAAAAAAGGAAATAATAATCCTTCGAAGGTCATGCAAAATAAATGCGTAAATCGATATCTACCTGGATAGTAGCGCATAAACCCAGACTCTGAGCAAAACATCTGAAAAGCGAGGTCACGTGTTTCTTCTTGATTTGCCCGGTATAAATGGTCGATATCAGACCAATCTATTTTCAACAGCACATCCGGGTCTGCAAAATATTTCCAATTCTAGCTTATTTGTTTCATAAATTCGAAATAAATGAACTTCGTTAGTAACGCATTAAATTTTAGCATCATATCAAGAAAGAGAAATATGAAAGGTGTAAATTCATCGACGAGAAGAATCAATCAGTTCGCGGATAAAGTACACATCTTCAATGATTAAAGCTTTATTGGAGCTTTATTGCCGCATATATTGATTCATTCAAAATGCTGGAAGAAGGATTCTGCTTACACAAATAAGCAAATTATTATAATTTTTAAATGTTCAGCTAGGCTGTTCTCCTACTTCGATCATAAACAGGTGTTGGAACATGAACGGCAGAAGAGAGTGAACTCGTCGGAATTCCGTACAAATTGGCATTCGGTGTTAAATTAAATCGTCGTGTACTGTTTACCTGCAAAAATACACTGAGAAAAGAAAACTGATAAGACTGAATTAAATTCAACCACAGTGACATCTTTCACAGAAGGAGTGGCAGGCCCTCCATTCAATTTCTGGATTTTTCTGGTTTCATCTCTCCAGATCATTGTTTTTCAGTACCTACTTGTGTTTCACATAAGTCTAATGAATGTGAACAGAAATTTCGGAAAGTACCTCAATCACATTAGCGGTATGATCGTGCACATACACTCGGCCAGCATCAGTTTCTTGCTTAGCTGCCATGAAGCGTATAAAATGAGAGCTAGTCGGATCATTCACATCATGCTCAGTGAGATTAGCCAAATTACGTGATTCCAGGGATACTTTCGCTTCCTAAGTTTCAAATCCAGTTTAAACTAGGATTTAAATTCAAATACGGACTTTGTTATGATTCAAATGGAACTCAAATCATTAGCTTATTCAGTATATTTCACCACAGTTACCTCATGGCAAGATTAATTTGTTTCTTTTGTTTTGAACAATTTTGATTTCAAACGATAATTTTTGCTTAATCGTCGCTGTCTATTTCATCTACACAATCGTCTAATTTGAAAACAGTAAACTTACCCACGCAACTTTAGCACGTCGTTTCAAGTATGCCTCGACTGCATTTTTTGCCCTTTTAAGCTCTTTTCGGGGATCAAATATTTCAACTTCACCGTAATTCTTGTACATCTAAATGTCCTGTTATGAGCAAAACATATACTGATTTGATATATGCTGATATATATATATATATATATATATATATATATATATATATATATATATATATATATATATATATATATA